CTTCAACTCCCAGAATTCCCCAGTCAGCATGAGGGAAACTATGGCCCCCTTAGGCCTTGTGGACTTCAACTCCCAGAATTCCCCAGTCAGCATGAGGGAAACTATGGCTGCTTTAGGCCTTGTGGACTTCAACTCCCAGAATTCCCCAGTCAGCATGAGGGAAACTATGGCTGCTTTAGGCCTTGTGGACTTCAACTCCCAGAATTCCTGAGCCGGCATTCTACAATTTGTTTCTGTAGGGACCGATGGCCATCACTTCCATGTTTAGAACGACGAATTCACGTCGACAGGTCATTGCAATTGTGTAGAAAGGGGCAGGTCTCTTAGCCACAGGAAAGGAAAGGAAGAACTGGTGCCCACAGCATCCTTTGGGGAACCCCAAGATTTTGTACTTGGTGATTACACAAACAGCCCTGGATCAGCCAGGCCTTCCGTGTGACCCATCACAAGTCTCCTATTCTTTTTTTTATCCTCCGCCATTTGCTATGATTTAAAAAACGTTGTGTGTTTTTATCGTAGAGCCAGATTAAAATTCGGGAAGCCGATTTCTGTCTCCATCCATAAATATGGTGATTAATCTCTGCCTTCCACAGTTCAAGCCAAGAATTCACTGCAACAAGGTAAAAAAAAAACAGCACAACACAGCACAATTACTACAACACAGGTGGTCCTCGACGTACGGCCACCATTGAGCCCAGCATTTCTGTTGCTAAGCGAGACTGTTGTTGAGCGGATTGAGTGAACGTTTGCCCCGTCTTACGACCTTTCTTCCCGCAATTGTGAAGCAACCAATACGGTCGTTAAGTGAATCCGGCTTCGCCCTTGACTTGGCTCGTCGGAAGGCCTCCAAAGGGGATCACGTGCCCCCCCCCCCACGGTCATAAGTATGAACCTGTTGGCCAGGCGTCTGAATTTTGACCGCAGGGATGCTGCAGTGGTATATAAGTGTGGGGAAAAAAACGGTGCTAAGTTCCTTGTTCCAGTACCTTTGTAGCTTTGAACCGTCGCCAAATGAATGGTTGTAAGTCGAGGACCACCTGTATAATACAGCAAAATAGACCAAAGAGTGGAGCAGTTCTGCGTCAGCGGAAGAAACCGCCGTAGGGATGAAGGGAGGCGTTAACTCAGTCCGTGATTCGCGTTCCCTGCTGCTTTTATGCAAATCCTTTCTCAGAAACGGAAATAAGAGCACCTGCAGAGTGACAGCCGGTAAACGGGGTTTAGAACGGGGGGGGGGGTTGTTCCCAAACTCAAGACCCGTGATGTGGTCGGATGCCGCCTGCGGGGCCATGCTGGTCTACCCAAATGCAAAGAGGAATCATTCCAGCAGTTTTGGGAGTGGCGTCCAAGTGGCCACGCCCACCCAGTCAGCCACACACCCCTGCCCCCCCCCCCCCCAGATGGTCATTAGGGCAGAGAACCGGTTGTTAAATTATTTGAATCCCCCCCCGAGGTCAACCGCAGTCCTGATGTGGTGCTTAGTGAAATTGAGTTTTGACACTCCCGGTTTAGAACATAAAACATAGAATCTGTTCCGACATAGCCTAAAAGCACGAAGCCGACTCCTCGTCCCAATAAACCCCCTTTTATTTAGTTTAAAGTGAGTTCCTCTCCAGCAAAGTCCCGGCCGATATCTTTCATGAGATTTCACAACTACGGACCTTGATCAGGCTTGGAGAAATGCCAGGCCGATATCTTCTAAACTCCATGCTGTAGCAGCAATTTCTTGGCAAGAAGTCAGGAACAGATCTTCACCCGAATGAACGGAACTCATTGTCTTCCTGCAAACTCCACTCCCCTTTCGCTCCTCTTTTATTTCCTCTGGGAGGGGCCATTCACCATCCACCTGTGGCCTTACTCCCAAGTCGCCCCCTGTTCTTTAGCTCTTCCCTTCGTTTGGCAGTTCTGCGCATGCGCACACTGAGAACAGGCTCCAGCTGTTCTTCTGCCTCACTGATGTCTGACTCGGAAGGCAGCTGATAACTGTCGGACGGCCCTGGCCCCCTCTCTGCCTCCGACACAGAGCCCTCCTCAGAGCCTTCCCCAGACTCCAGGACTGGCCCAGGTTCCTCCCCAACCTCCTCACTGTCTTGAGTCTGTCACCAGTTCCGCTGGCCACTGGCAGGCCAAGACAGAATCCTACAGCCCAAAGGGACCTCGGAGGTCTTCTATTCCAACCCCTAGCTCAAGACGGGAGAACTTATTATACCATCCCAGACAAACAATTGTCCAGTCTACAGGTAGCCTTC